GCTAGGGAGACAGCGGTAGAAGGAAACCATAGAACAAACCAACTAGTATAAATCAAGAAACTATATTCTTCGGACCATCAGTCATTATGAGATTCTGGAGCTTTATGCCTTCATTATCTGGAAGAGGTATTTGTCAGTTTCAAAGCTACAAGTCTTTCCAGTCTTTCCATTTTGGTTTTACTAGCTATATGGTAATTGATATGAATAAAAGATAGTTTTAATTTTATAGCAATAACTATATCTACCGGCAGAGTATATTTTATGTCATTGATGGTCTATCTATTTTCCAAAAGGACTTGACAATTTATAATAAAGAACACAATTGTGGAGAAGCTTGATGAAGGAGTACTCAGAAAGAGGGAACCCAAAACAACAGAGGAAGCCACCTACACATTATTTCATGAGATTTTAGACTATATTCGCAGGCCATCTTCAAGAGCCTCAGCCTGATGTCCTGTTTCTCATCCTACTTAATGTACCACATGGTTTGCGCTTGAAGTACCAGACTCATTTTTATTTATTATTTTCAATGTGATATACTTATATACAAATAATTTATCTAGTTCAGTTTAAATTTAGGTGTCTTGAGCTTCCAAAACTTATTTTAACACCAATAGAAAATCATTGTAGGGAACTTTGGCACATTAAAATATATACATATATATTTCATATATATATATATACACATACACATATATATTTTTATATGTAGATATATATACACAAACACACATGTATATATCTTTGAGTATTTTCCTGAAGCTATTTAACCTCTAATTATATAATAAGCAAAATAATAAAAAAATTACAGGTAGTCAATTTTATTTTCTGATTAAATTTCTCTTATTTTTCATACTTACACACATGCATAGGTACACACATGTACATATATACATACGTGCACACATATACTTCTATATATTATTTTTATATTTAGAGTGAATCTTAAACAAGACCATAAACCTATTTCTGTGAATCATTTCCCCCCCAAAAAATGTGATCTGTTGTTTGGATATGAGACTGGAAATAGGAACAATGTCATAAAACAAGGAAACGGAAGTTAAAAAACAAAAAAAAAAAAACAATAATAACTATCCAAATGTTCCTAAACAAGGAAAAAGGTTACTTGCCCTCAGAAATTAAATTCCATTAAGATAAGCTGTAAAATACACCAAAGTTTTAAGAATCTTGGGAAAATATGTGACCTAGAAGAAAATGTATCCTTATTCTCTTAAAGAAGTCACATAACATCTGCTTCATCAGCTTATTGCTATTATATTAAACAGCTCTCTCAAAGTCCTTCAGGACTGTGCTGGATCCTTAGACCCCTTACTGTTGCCATCATCTCTTCCTCATTACACACATGTGCACAGAGAACAGATACCAGCACACATGTCCATCTGCTTAACCCCAGCTCTGCCAGAGTCACCACCAGTTCCATCACAGTGAGTGAGTGGCTAGTCAGTTATCAAACAATAAGTCAAACCCATTATTTGTGGGTTGTGGGTTAAATAACATGTCATACTTGTTAACATCTTTGAAGGAAGATGAGCTGTATTCACTTAATCCTGATTAGTGGGGACGGTGTAGAGATTCCATTCCTGAAATACTTTGTTAGAACTCAGCAAAGCGACTTCAGCTGATTGAAAACATGCAAATGCCACAGTGTTAAACAAATGGCCCAGGTGTTATTTTTTTCTTCAGATAAATTGATCTTTTTTGCTATCAGGAAAGATAGTTGCATGGTCCTGATTATTAATGTAGTGTGATCTTAGCACTGACATTCTGAACTCAGTTGAGAAACCAGGAATCAGTATTTCTTGGCTCACAGGAGAAGTTATGTGATGTGGTATTACATGACTTGGAAATAAAAACCCTTAATGGATATAAGGAGGGTTCTTAGAGTTCCTGAGATGTTTCCCCCAAATTTATTTGTAATCCATACTTTAAAGTAACAACTTTTTAAAATTCGAAAATAAAAGTGAAACAACTTTATTATGTTCCCTTTGGGACTCTAGGCATTTTATATGAATTAACAGAAAGTGTGTGTTTATTTCTAAAAACCATGAAAGATAGAAAAACATAAAAAATAAGGAGAAAAAAATCACATTATCAGAGTAGAAAATTGCAACTATTAGTTAACTTCCTCTAAAGCCAGCATTAGGCTATGGAAACACTCAGGGTCTTTATTCACCCTGAATAGAAAGCTCAGTCCCAAGAACAGATGTTTTAATACTGCTTTCTGCATAGTAGAATAAGCCTTATACTAAGCGCGTTTTATCTTTTATTCCCTTTTCACCTATAGAGTTAGAATTATCTAACATATATAACATGTTTTATATATATATATATATATGTGTGTGTGTGTGTGTGTGTGTATATATATATTATTTTAATATGCAGATTTCAGGTGATGGCTTTGTGTTCATTCTGTTTTAGTATTGGAAGAAAAAGTGAAAAGAGCTAAATTTGGACAGCTTTGCCCCATTGGTCCAGTTTATTGTGCAAAAAAAAGTTGCATTGGCAGGTAGTGAGAAAAGACTCTTGTAGACGGGTGGCTTAGGCTGGGGACTTAAAGAAGGTACCACTGATTTAAGTAAAATATCTGAGCCTCTGTTCTATAAAACTGTTAACAAAGGAAATGTCCCATACAATTGTAAGGAACTTCATCTAACAAATTTGTATAATCTTTGCAAATTGTAAAGTTCTATGTATATTATTATTATTATTATTTTGCAATGAGTTTTTTACTTTGTTTATTTGTAGTAACAAAATACACCTCTGTGGCAAAATCCACTATGTGGCACAATTCACTATGTATTTAGGATAGAATAGGGTAAGATTTTATAAATTATCATGAAATGTCACAGGCTGATTTGCATTTTTGGTAATTTTATACATTAATCACTGAGTAACCTTCAGTTTTCCAAATAAAGAAAGAAGGGAGCAATGATGACATTTGTAATATCTACAGAAAGGGACTTATTTAAATTCTTCACAGATGGAGAGATATCAAGGGTAAATCATTATACCCACATTTCTAATTTTAAGAAGATTTGATAGTGTTTGTGGATGGTAAGAAGCCAACATTGTTTTGAATATAGACTTCATCATAAACTTTGCTTACTACAGTCCCAAATTCTCCAGATGACTGTGGGAGGCTTTCCAGAGACCATCCCCCAAAGATTGAGAAATTCATAAAAGGAAAATAATGTCATGCTACATGTAATACATAAACTCACCAAATTGGAATGATTTGGATAGTGACCTTTCAAGGAGGACAAATGACATTCTATATATACATCAGAATTTAATGTGGCTTTCTTCTTTACAAAGATGACATATGACATATACTCCTAATTCTAGCTCAAAGGAGTATATTATTTCTAAGCAAGATGCATAACTCATCTCTTCTTCAGCTAGCATAATCCCTCCCAATATTTTCTGTAAACTAGCCCTGATAATAAATGTGGACCAGTGCTTGAGATTTTTAGTTAACTGCTAAAGATATCTGAATGGTTGTCTAATGTTGTTTTAAAAATAGTCTTAAAGGTTGCAACATGTTTGCTGGGATATTCACAAGAAAACCTAGTGCCAAATGTTCTTTGGACTTTGAGCTGAGTAACATATGGAGTAACAGGCAGGAAACCATGAAGGCTACATTGGGTAGTCTATTTTGTCTACTAAATTGAAATATTTTTCCCCAAATCAGAATTTAAATTTAAATTTGCTTCTTGGAATAGGCTTTTTATATTTTTAAATACATATTTTCTTTGTTTTTCTTTCTATTTGTTTTATAGATAATTTCATATTCATATATTCTTGGTAGCCTCTGGTTTCACACTGAGAAGAGGAAATTCATGAGTAAATAATAAAAAACACTGATAAACCCACTAGTTGTAACTGATGATTCCACTTCTCATGTTAAAAGTTCATTTTCTGGGGATTATTTTGCTATGTCTCATGTAGTTTGGAAAAGGAATTTGAAACTGTTGTTCTAATACCAGAAAAACACTACCACTAGAGGAGAAAAACTTTCATTTTTAAAGAGCTCGGAAATAATTTTAGTCACCATGCTTATGGCAACATAATAGGGAAATAGGCAAAAACTTTCAGTCTTACAAGTTGAACATTCCTAACACAAAAATCCAAAATCTGAAATGCTTTAATACCTAAAACTTTTTGAACATTGACAGGGTGTTGCAAGTGGAAGATTCTACCTGATCTCACGTGATAAGCTCTAATCCAACTGTAAATTACCTTCAAGTTATGTGTATAAGTTGTCTATAAAACAAATAAATTTTATATTTAGACTTGGGTCCTATCTCCAATATATCTTAATATGTATATGCAAATATTCCAAAATTTAAAAAAATTATATCAGAAACACTTCTGGCCCTAAGTATTTCAGATAAGGGATACTGCCCTATATAACTTGGTTTTCTCAGGGCATAACTGTGTCTTCTGTGGGTGGAGAAGGCACGGGCCTGAGAGAAATGGTGCCTTTTGGCTTCCTCATTACACTGATTTTGGTGAGGCATCTCTGGAAAAGTTCTCTGCTCCACTCACTGATCAGAACCTTCTGATAGCCAAGAGGTGGGGGACAAGTTCTTTATCTCATGTCTGTCCTAGCCAGGATGGAAAATTAATTCTGCTGTTGGGAAGGACAGAGAAGTTGTTTGTCACAGTGTACCAAAGCTCTTCGACACAGCACATAATTTGCCCTCCACTAATATGCAGCAAGAACTACGGATGTTAGGAATGTCTCTCACTAACATCTGCTTTCTTATTCATTTCTTTTACTTCCTTTTACTGGCAACTTTAATTTGAGGTGACAGATGCCTTCTGAGGCTTTGGAAGTCATCCCTCTCAGTAACCAAATCCTGTCCTGTGGGGGATGTTTCCTCTCTGCAGCTGTTCTGTGAAGCCTCAGCAGTGTGCTAGAGTTGGCAATGCGCTGTACAGTGCCCTGACATCTCGCTCTCTCCTTGCCTTCACAGCTGGCGCTACCTACATCTTTGGGAAAAGTGGTGGCCTCATCCTCTACACCTGGCCGGCCAATGACAGGCCCAGCACGCGCTCTGACCGCCTGGCAGTGGGCTTCAGCACCACGGTGAAGGATGGCATCTTAGTACGCATCGACAGCGCTCCAGGTCTTGGAGACTTCCTGCAGCTTCACATAGTGAGTACCCGGCCTTGGCCTGCCTTCTCTTGTCTCCCTGGTGGTCTGAGTTGGTGAGTCAGATAGATGCCGCGGAACACTCCACACGGACTCAACAAAGGCGCACATGCTTCATAGGAATTGCCTTCTATTATGTGAACCATCACACTCATACATGCTTCTGTGATAAAAAAATTAAAAACTCTCCCCTCTGTTCCAGGAATATATATATAGAAAAAAAAAAAAAACTCTTCTCTTTCAAACTCCCTTTCCCAACCCTGTGGTTTGGCCTGCAGATAAACATCTAGCAGATCACTTGGGTGCAGACAATAGATTTACAAGGTGTGGTTCAACTTACTTGGTACAAATAGCAAAGCTAACTGGAATGTTCATGATTTCCTGGGCTGGGGTTTGGCAAACCTATAAAGGGCCAAGGAGGGACTCACAGACTGGTTATATAGTCTCTATCAGAGTGACTCAGTTTTGCCATAGATAATACATCTTTTTAGTGCACAAGACGGAATTTCAGTGAAAATTCCTTTACCAAAATTAGCCACAACTGTACTTGGTGACCCTTGTCCTAAGACGCAAATATCACTGTAGAGGTAGATATAAAGAATGTGTGATAAAAACTGATGTCAGCGCTTCAGAGTGGGTGGGGCTGTGTTTCAAAGGAAATAGCACAATGACCAAGATTAGTGTTATTCATGCATATTACATATCTGACTTTTTGCTTTATGTCTTGTATGTATGAACTCAATAGGACTGTACTTTCAGTCCCTACAGATCTTAAGAAAATACTGCAAGTCTAAGAAACTAAAATGATTTGAAGGAAAAAACTGCTTTGTTATAAGGATAGGAAATATTTTTATAGCAACAATTAACCCATTTTATCACCTGTGCAGTCTGCAGCTAAGAAAGTAGGCTAAAGATATGATTCTCATCTATAAGCACCCCAAGTGCAGCCACCAACAGCAATGAAAGGAATTGTTCTCATTAGTTAGCAATGACAAGGCTAGAAAGAATGGATTTAATTTGGAGCAATAAGAATTCAGTTTAAATAGCAGGGGAAAAACAGCAGTTAAGAAAAAAGATCAACTGGGGATTAGTACCAATCTGTAAAAAGAAGAAAAAAAGGAACATTGACTGGAGATTCTTGAATCAGAGTCTGCTGATATTCAGTTCCAGGGATAGAAGCAGGACTTAAGATTTCATTGCTGGGCTCTAGAGTTGGAGAGTTGGAAGTGTTCATCTCTAGCACTTGCTCCTCCAACAAGCCTTGGAAGTGGGAGCAACTCAAGTTTGAGACTAGAGCTGGAAGCTTGTCTGGCCCAGTAGGAGCCTGAGCAGAGCAAGAGTCTACTTACAAATGCAAGAAGGGATTGTTTAGAAGTGATGGCCTTCAAAATGTAGAAGAGGAGTCTTAAAGATTTGAGTTGCAAATTTTAAATTCTGAGATGTTTTAAGAGCTATATGGTACAGCAAGCCTGAGCATAAACATTTTAAAAAGCCACACCAAGGAGCAAAGAGAAAGGCAGCCATAGTTCTATAGTTTATCTTTATTTCGTCTCTAAGAACCACCATAATTTACAGAACTCTTGGAGATTTATGCTGCATATAACTTAATGACTATTTCATGGCAGCTATAACTAGGATATTATCACCAGCTCACTTGCATTTTCATAGTGATTTATCTTCTTTTTTTGTTCAGTGTGACTTGCTCAGAAAAAATATGATTTGGCATGGCCATGAGCATCTTTTTGAGTCAGCTACTGTGCTACTATTTTATCCAGTTCTCCCCCATTCACTTTTAAGAAAGAGGTTTTCTTATTTTCTGACAGTTTGCTTGGAATTGCTGATGTTTTTATAAAATGGATGTGTGAATACTAAGAACTTCTAGGAGGAGCTAGGACACTCTGGTATATTGTATTATGACATTATAACTTTGTCCTTTCTTAAGTGTTTTGAAAAAAATGAATTCTTCTAAAACATACTTTAGGGTTCAAGTATACATTTGTTTGTATTCATTAGCGTGTGTACTCTGTTTAAGCATACATATTAGGTTTTGTGGTATATCACTTTGTTTATAAAAAGCAAAAATAGTAGAAATTTTTCATCGCAATATGTAGAACCATCTTGGAGTGCTACGTACCTACTCCAGTGAAGCTATGATTCCCTAAACATCCTGGGAAATTCCAGTAGATTTTCCTGCAAATCTTGGGTTAGAAAATTATATCATCTGCCTGATCTTTTCAAAAGAAAAGACAAAGGGATGCTACAATCTAAAAAATTCATGGTGAACCTGACCTATGCATGACCCTCTCAGGCATGGGGCTCCTTCATTGATCTAGTTGTGTGAAACCATGTTGTATTTCTTTGTGGATTATCTCTCTCTTTATACTCCTTATCACAATTGAAAATAAAGTAACCCAAGTAGACTGCAAGGAGTGAATAAAAAATTAGTCTCTTATTTTGGACATATATGTAGATATATCAGGGAAATAAAGCCATGGATATCTATTAAGGTACTTTTATAAGACTATTACAATCTGTAAAAGGTGGTTTTGTTTGTTGAATGGTTTTTGTTTGATGAAAATTACCTGAAAGGAAAAGAGCTTAGGGGTCATCAGCAAAAGTGAAAAAGATCGGGCAGGAAGCAAAAGATTTTACTCCACCTTCCCATTTGCCTACAAGAAGAGAACTTGCTGGGAAAACAAAAGAAGTGATGGCAGTATTCAGAGGAGATGCAAGCTTGTGGCTTTATTTACTTAGGGCTGCTTTAAAAGAATACCTGTGATTTGATAATTTGTAAATAATAGAAATTTATTTATCCATTTGGGAGATGGGGAAGTTCAAGAAGATCAAGATGGCAGCAGGTTAGAACTGGGTCTTGCTGCTTCCATGAGGATGACTTGAACACTCTCCTCTAGAGGAGAGGTTTCCATGTTTTCACATGCAGCAGAAGAACAGAAAAGTGAACCTACTCCTGTAACTGCCGCCCTTCCACCCCATACCTTTGGAAGTACTGGGAATTGAACCCAGGGGTGTTCTGCCACTTAGCTACATCCTCAGCATTTTTTTTTTTCTGAGACATAGTCTCTCTTAAGTTTGAGGCTGGCTTTGAACTTGCAATCTTCCTGACTCTGCCTCATGAGTAGCTGGCAATACAGGCATGCACCCTTGTGCCTGGTGCTGCAAAACAGCTTATAATGCTGTTAATCTGCCTGTAGAAAGACCCTGACTCTCAACACTATTGCATAGGGTATGGGTGACACATCCAGACCATGGGAGGGGGATAAATTCCTGGGAAAAGGAAAAAAAAGGACAGGAATCTGCCTACACACATACACCAGCAGGGACCATATGGGAGTGAAGCTTCATTCTTTGAGTATGTGTGTTAACTGTGGAAAGAACTCTAGTGGTACCTGTAATGGTGGTCAGGATAATAAAGTTGTTTTAACAACAAAGTATGAATGAAAATATGTATGTGTGTGTGTGTGTGTGTGTGTGTGTGTGTTGTGTGTTGTAGTATGAGAGAGTGAGAAAGAGAGAGAGGAAAACAGCAAGAGAGAGAATCAAACAAAATCGAGACAGAGAAGAGAAAATTTGTGTCTCATAAATTGGCAACTTTTAGAAATTCTTGAGGTGTTCTGTGTGGCTTCAACACGGTCACTGGAATAATTCATTTTTATTCCCAAGTTAGCTTATTTGAAGGAAGTGAAAATGTTCTTCCAAGAATACCCGGGAGTCTGACTCTGAGGTGAGCACCCATCCTAGAATATTCCACAGCAGTAATGGCAGATGAATTTCATCCTGCTAGACTTTCACTCTCTTGCTTTGAGCTTTACACTGGAAAGATTTGTGCAGGCAGCAGAGATTCCAGCAGGTTGGAGATCCGGCCTTTACTCGATCTGTCTGCTGCAGGTGGGAAGTGGGCCATTGTGGATGTACAATGCACAAGTATTACACCTCTTCTAAGCTATACACATGATTTGAACTTTCCCTCTTCTCTTCCTGTCTTCTTGAAATCCCCACTCTTTAATAACTGTTTAGGAAAATAGGTATCTTCTTAAACTCATGCTTCATTGGAAGTACCTTAAATTGTTGACTAATTAGTTTAAAGCAGTCAGTCTTGTTGTAATCCTTCTCACAGCAGGCTAAAGTCAGCTGCTGTGACAGAATTTGAGTTTTGAGGGGAGACTGGGAGAGAATGAAGAGTAAGTGGCCATGACTAATTTTGAGGACATGCAATATTGTGTCAGATGGCAGGAATGGGTAGAGAAAGCTTGGGCAAAATTTAGGTATGCCCTATGGGAAATAATTGGGACAGAGAAAGAAAAAGGCACCAAATTGAGTTGGGTAGGTGCTGTCAGCATGATTTTTCTTATTTCATGATTTATTAGATTATCTGTCATCCTGGTGAAGTCTCTTGCCTTTTTTTATACTTTCTTTTTAACCTAAAGTCTTCTCATTTATTTGTTCCTCTTGGGAGTTAAATGGTCATTGACAATCAGTGATAAACAAGATAAGAATTGGATCATTTAAAAAATAAATCAGAGAAGGCCAAGAGATCAAAATAATTTGGAAATCACTTATTTCAAATTAACATTTCTTTGCTTTTTGGTTCACCCTTCCATGATGCAGTGCTTTCTGTATCAATTATGACTCATGATATTAATGAAATCATGAATGGAATGTGTTTGAGAAAGGCAAAAAGTCCTTTGTTGAAGTACATGTGCATGAAATGAGATTCTGTGGAGGGAGGGTATCTTAGGGCACAGGGGTTTCTTTTTTGCTAATTATTATTTCAGATATAAGTTTTCTGCCACCGAAACTATTGTTGAGCGATTAATCTGCTTAATATTTGGAGAACAGCTGCTGTTACTTGAGAGTGACATCTGCTCATTGACCCCACATCAAGGCTTCATAGAGCTGTGTCCCTTTTCACTCACCTTCATTTATACCAAAAGGGAAACAGTGAATAGGACCAGAGAAAAGATCACCATGAAGTGCTTGCTCTT